TAGAAGTGGAGAGGGATTTTTAACTTTCTTTGTAAACAAAAGCCCTCCATCCATATCGTTTCATATTTGAACTGATACAAGTAAGGCCGACACGTTTCACGCCTTTTGATATTGTTAACTCGCCGGTTGAAGATTTGCATAAAACTAGATCCGAGAAACTGTGTAATTTACTTTAGATCAACAAAATATGACTCGCTTTTATATTTGAAATGTTAGCAGACTCTACCATAGTGCCAGACCTTTATAGCGAATGTGAAATTCTCCAGAGTTTCTCTAATTTCTCTGTTTATTTATTAATTTGGTTTTTTTCAATTATTTGTTTTTAGCGTTAAAAGTTTCTATTGCATTGACTGATTGTAGAGGTTTACTTTAAAGAAACACAGAAAAGTTTCCATTTTTTTCATTCGTTTATCATATATACAAAGAAATCATTTGCAGTTCTGAAACCTTTAGGGCGATAATTTAAACAGAGTTTAGTCGTTTTTTAACGAAACCGCGTCATGAACAGTCTTCAATTTAGCTGGACCTCTTATCTGAACACTTATGTTTGTAAAAATTGTCGAGAGGTCTAAAACCTAGCAGATTAAAGCTTGAGGTCACTGATTGTATAAAACCGTGGTTTAGGTTACATCTCATGTAAATATCCATGAGGTGTAATTTGGTGAACGTTTGTGGTCCAAGAAATTTCCAAAGCTTTGGTAGTAGACCAATACGAAGTTCTCTACTGTACTCTCTTTTGCTTTAGCCTGGATCAGAATTGAAAACAGTTGGTAAGCGAAAGAGACCTTTTTTATTTTTATTTTTTCTATTCTATTTTTTTGTTAACGAGTAAATCCTCACAATCTTTGATCCGAAACCCACACTCAGAACCAGTCTCATCCAAGAGAGAGATCTCGGCTGTTCGTTCCACTCAGTAAGGTGTTCGTTACACTGTCACGTGAGTCATGCGAGTCAGGGACTTTTAGAAAATAAATATTCATTCAATGAACTTGAACTCGCCATTTAAAGCAAGAAGCCTTTCATATTTAATTTTATAAAAGCAAAGATAATAGAATGTAATCTTCCAATAGAGGTTAATTTAATGTCAAGAAGAGAAAAAAAAATCGGGAATTCGTCAACATTACTAGTGGCTCTGTTTGTCACGCCATCTACGAAACTGAAAGTATATCCATTGATTGCATGAAGCTAAGAATTTAAGCATCGGAGCGCGACCCGAAGATCTGAGGTTCGATTTCTTATGGGAGCTCATACTTTTTCCTTTGTCCCACGCTCGTAACAAGACGAAAAACATATTTTGTCGAACAGTGATAGATAAAGAATGCACTCTTTAAACACAATTATTGGCTTAGCGCTAATGAGTTATTCGCCATAAAGTTGAATCAAAATTGCTAGAGCACAATTTTGGGATGTCGACTTTATTTTCCATAAATTGCAACAAATATATTTTCTCCTGTTTTGCCTCGAAAAAGAAAAGTTACAGCCTGCTTACTGGTAATGAATTATTCAAAGTTAGAGAACAAAATATCACACAATAGCATCATCTCCATCTTAATACAATTTTTGTTTTACTTTCATGGCGGCTTCCTCGACCGCCATATGATAATCAGGAATTGCTGTATTTTTTTTTATTCGGAAGCGAAGTATTTTTTTCATTGAAAACCTATTTGTGCTCTCTAAAATTGTTCAAAACTTAAGGAGCGTCTTACAGCTAAGTAACGCAACAAAATAAAATTTCGCCAAATTTTCCCATTACCAAGAATAAAATTAGAAATACATACGTTAGGACAAAACACGAAACCTAACGGAAAAATACAGTACACTGAGTGTAAATACAGCTAAACT